TAATTTAGAGCTCCCAGCAAAGCTTGGCCCTCCGGCAGAAACACGCTCTCCTGCTGCCTTCGTCCTGCGCCAAAGTCGCGGGCCTCCTCCTGCCCTGCAGCTTGGCTGCGTATCCCCGCCCGCTCCTTTGCCTTGGCGCTGGCACGCGTCTGCCTGCTGCGCACACAGATGTGACGGGGTCCATTAGCTGGGCAGAAGAATGTCCCTCCCCGCTGCTGCGGTCATTGACTTGGTTCCTGCGCCGCCAGGCGAGCTCCAGAACCAGCACGGGAAGGAGCACGCAGCCAGGGAGCAGGGCAGCCCGGCAGGCAACGAGGAGCTCCCGGGTCGGTGCAGCATCACCTTGACACGCAAAATAAAAATGCCTCAAAGCACGGCTTCGTGAGATCCAGTGAGTCAAATCAGCAACTCGCAGCCACCTAGGGTTCCTGCTGGCTGGCTCGCTCTGGCCCCTCTATGAGCTGTTTCAGCTCACTGCCATAGCAGAAAACAAAACAAGCGAGAAAGCCTGGGGTTTGCAGGGGTGGTGGCAGCGTCACCACGCTTAGCAAGGCAGATCGGCTCACGGTAGGGTCTGATGAGCAGCGGCCAGGACGGAATGGTGGCTTTGAGAGCAGGGAGGAGGGGACGGATGAGCAGCAGCGGCATTTGCGCACACTCACGCCTTTCCCCTCTCCTCCTGCTGGAGTGCCATGGGAGCTGCCGGGGGAACCGTAGTCCCTGCGCCAGTCCCACTCAGATATGCGTGTACTTGTATAGAAACACGCCTGTGCACGTATGAATATATACACACACACATATATGAACATATACACGCCTACATACCCTTCAATAGTTGAACAGATTGTATGTTTTTCAGCACCTGACAAACTCATTCTTGGTCCTTCCAAATCAGAGGGGCCGCAGCAGAGAGATGTGGTTTGCCTTGCTCACACTCTGCGGCCACAGGCGGTGGTGATGGAGAAACGAGACATCCTGAGGAAGGGTGGCCTCCGAGCTGCCACCAGCCGCCCCCCGACCCAGCCCTTCAGGGCCGACTCCCCA